TCCCATGCAGGATATCAGCCTATTGGATGGTGTCACCCGCAACCAGCATGGACCTTCCCATTATTCACATCCAAAACTAATCAACCAATGGACTAGTTTAGTTACCTCATACCCTTCATACCCTTAAGCCATATTCACACACCCTGAATTAAGCCCTCTCCAAAAGCCCCACTGATGAGCACAGGGGTTATCATTAATTTCAGTATGGATACTGCTTATTTTATTGACATATTATTATTTATGAAATAAAACATAAAATATTTTTGAAAATTTTGAAAGTAGAGAGAGGCTACAAAAATGTTTCTTTATACTACTTTATGTTCTTTGTAGAGAATTAATCTCATCAGGGCCACATAGGAGTTTACTTCCAAATGTAAGTGAGCAAGGGGCAACTGTCTGGTCTCAGAATCTTCTCCACGCTGAGTCCTGAACATCTCTGCTTTTGCACATTTCCTATATTAATATGGTAAGCAGGTACCTTTATCATACCAAATGGGCCACTATTACAAGTGAACAGCCTGTTACAATTAATTACAAAGAGACAACTGGTATCGGGAGCACGGTGCTAGGCAGTCCCGTTCAAAGTTCCCTTTTCCCATGAATTTAAGTTGACGGCTTCTTGAATCTAAAGGAGATTTATTTCACTTGAGAGGCAAGGCAGAGAGATGGAAGGAGGAGAGAGGAGAGGAGAACAGAGGGAAAGAGAGGAGAGGGGAGAGGAAGGGAGGAAAGGGAAAGGGAGAGCAGAAGAGAGGAGAGGAGAGGAGAGGAGAGGAGAGGAGGTCAAGGAAAGAGAAAGGAGAGGAGAGGAGGGCAGCAGGACAGTGGAAAAAGAGAAAAGTGGGGTAGAAGAAAAGGAAGGGCTCAGGGAGGAGAGGAAGAATGAGATGCACAAAGTAGTGAAAAAAATTGATGAACATAAAGAATTAATTTCATGATAAAATTAAGGCTCTCATGAAGAACACTATGAACCCCACTGGTACATACATTCTCGGCAATCTGGCTGCTCCTTGGTTTGCAGTGGCTGCTTTCTCCCTCATCCTCATCTCGACCGTGATATCAATAAAATACTTTGGCTGGTTCTGCAAAGACGGGGGAGAAAAATGCCTCTAAAATATAAGCATTTGTTCAATGTCTACAGATGATGGCATATATGAAATATATTTTATATATAATTATTTCTGTATGTATGTATACCTATATTTATAGATACATGTGTATAGTATCTAGTCACCTAATTATGGTTGAAGAAGCAAGGAACCTTGATCACATAAGCAGACATCCTAGAGCTGCAAAATCCATTAGGAAAGCTAACAGGAGGCGGCAGCTTCCCTTGTCTTCTGGACCTCAGACAGACTAAAGACACAGTACACGAGCAATTATGTGATTACTTCCCAATTATTACCTCTTAGTGCCTTGTGTTAAATGAAGCACTTTCTCTTCTCATGATTTCTACCAAGCTTTCATCTCCTTACACATCAACTACTTAATATATTGGAAACATTATAGCAGAACATTGTGTAATTCATAATGTTTCTCCATAAATGTTCTATAAATTAGCCAACAATATTTACAATTTAGAGATATCAAAGCCAACATTCAGTAGATTTTCTAAAGCTACCTGGATAGCAAATATTTAATATTAAAATTCCCTCCTATATCACATGTTCTTAATAGATTATATTTTAAAAATGAACTACAGGGTTTCAGAAGACAATGTGTTCCATATACAAAAAGAAAGAGGTAATATATAGCAGTTAATAGAAGGCCACTTATAAGGGTATTCAGGCAAGGTCTTGTTGAGGAGGTTATAGATGGGACTAGGTATAACTGAAGAGAAATAATTAGCTAAGAAAAATCTGAGAACAGAAAGAACAAAAACATTATTTTATAAAATGAAACAAAAAGGTTCATGTTTTCTAGAAAAGAACATAAAAGCCAAAATGGTTGGCCTGAGGCAATATGGCAAAAATGAAAATGAAAGAAGGTGATTATTTTCATGTATTTGGTACAGGGTCTCACTACGCTCAGCTTGGACTCAGAGTGATCCTCCTGTTTTCAACCTCCCCAGTGCTGGGATTACAGACATTCACCACCACGCCCTGTCCCAGAGGCCAGCTCAGCGCACCCACAGGTGGGGCCAGTGGGGCATGTGGTGCCGGGGATAGAACCCTGGTCCCTGCAATTTCCTAAGCAGGCACCTACTCCACTGAGCTCTCTCACAGGCCCAGGAAGATGATTATTGCTAAAAAATCTTCTCTGATGTTAATCTGCCAAATTGTCCTACAACAATCAAATTCCAAGGATAAGCAATATCTAGCTAGGGAAATCAGATTTTTTTCACCTATAAATAAATCACCAGAAGGGAAAAGATACATTAGTAAATGTAAAAACCTGGGATATTATTTCTAGGTTACTTTAATCAATTCTCAAGAAGTCCTCCTTTGAATGGGGAAAAGATATATGGCAAGCTAACCATGGTATGAAAGGACATTTTCTTTCCTTTGTGCAACACAGAAAAGGAAGAGATTTTAAAATGCATATTTATAACAGTGATATTATATTATGTATTCTTTACAACAGACTGTGTGAAATTAGCTACATGGTGGATGTTAAACAAGATCTCCCAGCTCTACAAAGAGGGAAGGAAGGAAGGAAGGAAG